TTATGAAGGGAAACAGAAGTAGTTATGAAGGGAAATAGAAGTAGTTGTTGGCGGAAATAGAAGTAGTTGTTGGGGGAAATAAAAGTAGTTTTGAGGGGAAATAGAAGTAGTTGTTGGGGGAAATAAAAGTAGTTATGAGGGGAAATAGAAGTAGTTGTGAAGGGAAACAGAAGTAGTTATGAAGGGAAATAGAAGTAGTTGTTGGGGAAATAAAAGTAGTTATGCGGGGAAATATAAGTAGTTGTTCGGGGAAACAGAAGTAGTTATGAAGGGAAACAGAAGTAGTTATGAAGGGAAACAGAAGTAGTTGTTGGGGGGAACAGAAGTAGTTATGAAGGGAAATAGAAGTAGTTATGAAGGGAAACAGAAGTAGTTATGAAGGGAAACAGAAGAAGTTGTTCGGGGAAATAGAAGTGGTTATGAAGGGAAATAGAAGTAGTTGTTGGGGGAAATAGAAGTAGTTGTTGGGGGAAATAAAAGTAGTTTTGAGGGGAAATAGAAGTAGTTGTTGGGGGAAATAAAAGTAGTTATGAAGGGAAATAGAAGTAGTTGTTGGGGGAAATAGAAGTAGTTGTTGGGGGAAATAGAAGTAGTTGTTGGGGGAAATAAAAGTAGTTTTGAGGGGAAATAGAAGTAGTTGTTGGGGGAAATAAAAGTAGTTATGAGGGGAAATAGAAGTAGTTGTTGGGGGAAACAGAAGTAGTTATGAAGGGAAATAGAAGTAGTTGTTGGGGGAAACAGAAGTAGTTATGAAGGGAAATAGAAGTAGTTATGAAGGGAAACAGAAGTAGTTATGAAGGGAAATATAAGTAGTTGTTGGGGGAAACAGAAGTAGTTATGAAGGGAAACAGAAGTAGTTGTTGGGGGAAATAGAAGTAGTTGTTGGGGGAAATAAAAGTAGTTTTGAGGGGAAATAGAAGTAGTTGTTGGGGGAAATAAAAGTAGTTATGAGGGGAAATAGAAGTAGTTGTTGGGGGAAATAGAAGTAGTTGTTGGGGGAAATAGAAGTAGTTGTTGGGGGAAATAAAAGTAGTTTTGAGGGGAAATAGAAGTAGTTGTTGGGGGAAATAAAAGTAGTTATGAGGGGAAATAGAAGTAGTTGTTGGGGGAAACAGAAGTAGTTATGAAGGGAAATAGAAGTAGTTGTTGGGGGAAATAGAAGTAGTTGTTGGGGAAAACAGAAGTAGCTGTTAGGGGAAATAAAAGTTAAGAAGGAGAAAGTTGGATTTTGAAATAGCATTGGTAGGTAAAAATGATAATTGTAGTGGGGCAAGTAGAAGCAGTGGTCGCGGCAGCCATCGCATGGGATGTGGTGCGTGTTTGGGTTAGCAGCGTCCTTGATGGGTATGCTTATTTGTTTGTTTATTTGTTGTTTAACGCTGCACTCAGCAACATTCGAGCTATATGAAGGCGGTCTGTAAATAATCGAGTCTGGACCAAACAATCCAGTGATTGACATCATGAGCATCGATCCACGCCACTGGGATACAATGACATGCATCAACCTTGTCAGCGAGCCTGACCACCCGATCCCGTTAGTCGCCTCTTACGACAAGCATAGTCGCCTTTTACGGCAAGCATGGGTTGCTGAAGACCTATTCTACCCCGGATCTTCACGGGGAGACAAGCATGGGTTGCTGAAGACCTATTCTATCCCGGATCTTCATGGTGGGGATGTAACAGCAGCAGTGTTACGTTTGTATAGCTACAGCTGGAGAAACACGTTCCATTAAACATGGTTACATAAAATTATTAACACGTAATCAGCCGCCATCCTTCTGGCAGACCGCCTTCTTCGGGAAACAGAACATACACAGAACGTTGGGTTGTTATGTTGTTGGTGGGTTAACGGCGCACTCAGCAATATTCCAGCTTTGTGACGGCGGTCTGTAAATAATCGAATGCAGACAATCCAGTGATTTATATCATAAGCATCGATCTACACAACTGGGATATGATTGCATATATCAACCAAACACTGAATCTGGTTGTAGCAAGTTCCCACAACAAGGGTCATAACAGTGAGTGAGTGTGTGAGTGAGTGAGTATGGTTTTACGAGGCTTTTAGCAATATTCCAGCACTGTCACGGCGGGGGACGCCAGAAATGGGCTTTATACATTGTACCCATGTGGGGAATCGAACCCCGGTCTTCGGCGTGACGAGCGAACGCTTTAATCAATAGGCCACCCGACCGCCCCACAACAGTGAGTAAGTGAGTATGGTTTTATGCCGCTTTTATCAATATTCCAGCAATGTCACGGCGAGGGACACCAGAAAAGGTCTTCACACATTGTACCGATGTGGGGAATCAAACCCCGGTCTTCGACGTGACGAGCGAACGCTTTAACCACTAGGCTGCCCCACCGCCCAGGATCAGCAGTCCGCGGCAATCTCTGCCGGCAGTAAGGGGCGATTCATAGTCTGTCACACAGACCCTGAAACAAGCATATCCAATACAGCCCATGCAAGCATAATATCTTTGGCAAGTCTAGATTACTGCAGTATCTGAAAATGGGCTACTTTTTATTATATTTTTAGTAAGATGATTTAACAACTGTTATGTTTCTGTAAGATATGTTCATTCAGAGACGTTAACGTCGCTTTTGACAGTATTCCAGTTATATCGCGGCGTGTCAGCTTAATGTGGGAGGAAAGTCCGAAGTGATGCAGGTCTCAGACGTTTACCACTTCGGTGAAACCCACGAGCACGGGTGTGGTGCTGACAAACCTAGAAACATAATTGGGGCAAACCGGGATTCGAACCCACAATCATAGGTTTGTGGCGTGCCCAAGGGACGCAACTCTGCACAGCGAATCGCGGCGCCTTAGAAGACCGGGTCACACATGCCGCTCTATTCGTTAGAACAGCTAACTCCCAGAACGAGTTGTTATTGAAATGCTTGTTATTACGTCAACGTGTTCTGGGAAGAGGATGGGTTATACATGTACATAGTGGAGCCCGTCAAACGGCGCGGCAATGCTACCAGTGACATAGAACAGCTTAACCCATTTGGAGATTAAAGTAGCATTGGTATAAACAGTAGTGATCCTTAAACAGATGGACATAATTATCTGTGATTAGACGGGTGAATAGCTCCCCAACTAACGAGGTTTGCAGTCTGGGCCAGACAATCCAGTGATTTACACTATGAGAATCAATGTACGCAATTGAGATACGATGACATGCATCAACCAAGTCAGCGAGCCTGACCACCCGATCCTGTTAGTCGCCTCTCACGACAAGCATGGTTTGCTGAAGACCTATTCTACCCCGGATCTTCACGGGTAAAATACAACTGAATTATTGATCAGTCTCCATTGTACTGCAGAGACGTATATTATCGGAGTTAAAGATTTGATTTTAATGATATTTAACTACTGATGTAGAGACTCACTCACTGACCCACCACCCCAAACACTTACCAACCCACTCGATGAATAACTAGATAAGCAGAATACTTGAATACACGTACTCAATACTGTTGATATCAGTGTCGATATTCACATGTGAAGCCAGCTATACTCCCATTGTAGTGGCTTGGCTGACACTTTAGTAACAAGTGTTAATGAGACAGGCCGGGAACGCGGAAAATACAGCACGTATTTCCCCGAAAAGGATTAGTTCACAAAATGTTCTGTCAGCAGTGGAGATACAATGTACATTCAAGGAAAATTAATGAGTATGTGTGAGGGTGAGTGAGTGAGTGGTCGAGTATGTTTGTGAGTGAGTGGGAGGGTGAGTGAGTGGTCGAGTGTGTTTGTGAGTGTGTGAGTGAGTGTGTGAGTGAGAGGGTGAGTGAGTGAGTGAGTGTCAGTGGTAGGGTGAGTGAGTGTCAGTGGTAGGGTGAGTGAGTGGGAGGGTGAGTGAGTGTCAGTGGTAGGGTGAGTGAGTGTCAGTGGTAGGGTGAGTGAGTGTCAGTGGTAGGGTGAGTGAGTGTCAGTGGTAGGGTGAGTGAGTGAGTGTGTATGTATGTGCGCGTGTGTGTATGTGAGCCAGTGAGTGGGAGGGTATGTGTTTGTGTGAGTGGTCGAGTGTGTGAGTGAGTGTGTGTGTGAGAGTGGTCGAGTGTGTGTGTTCGGGTGATTGTGTGCGCGTGTATGTGTGTGCGCGCGTGTGTGTGTGTGAGTGAGTGAGTGGGAGGGTGAGTGAGTGAGTCGGTTCATGGGTTTATGCATAAGTGACTAAGTATGTTTAGTTTAACGCAACAGTATATAAACATCGGGGGGGGGGGGGAGAACAAGTGGTCCCTATAAGAGACTGGAGTCCTTACTGTCCACATATTTAGACTTGCCTAGGAGGAGGATAGAATTACTACACATGCAAGGATTACTCTTTGAGTACAGCCTTGGAGCAATGCTATTCGAGATTGAATCCCTACGAATATAACACTGGGGGTGGCTTCGGGGTCTTAGGATACATGTTCCAATTACACATTTTTTATTGATGAAATAAATTCTTTCCACAAAATGTTAAACAAACCGATCACCATTGAAAACATTCATCTATATTCCAGTTGGTCTTGCTTCCGCCGAGGCAAAGACACGTTATCGTGACTGAAAATGTCAATTTGGAATCAAATTACTCGAAACAGATTCTAACACAATTCACAAAATAAATAAATAAAACTGAAATGCCACAACATTTGGAGGTTAGCTTGCCGGATAATAGTCATAATCCCTAAAATCCTTCTACCACTATTATCCCATTCAGTACGTTGTGTACCACTCAAATAGCAAACGTGTCAACAAGGCTATGGCGATCCGGCTTCACTGTATACAATGAGATAAATCTGACCTCAAACATGTCATTATCTTCTCGGAAGCGGAAAATAATCCTTTTTGTCTAAAACTTCCTTTTACTAACAGTGATAGCTTGGACGTCCTGTAGATCTATTTGACGCAACAAGCTAACGTGCGATACAAGATGACAGGCAGGCGATATCCATTGCGTGGGTGTCTAAAAATAGCACAGCACCTCCCGGAGAGCCAATCAGAGGCGCGGAAATCGGGTCATCACTGTTTGGATTGCATGCGCTCTTGAAAGCTCCGTACGATAGAGGGGATGTGTAGAGCTGCAATGCCATCTCGGGAATAAGTCGATCTAGTGGTCAGTTTGGAGTACAAGTGACCATTCGGACGTTCAATACCTTTAAAAAGATGTGATGGAATATTGTGTGTGAAAGCTGAGGAGCTTGGATCAGAATGGGTCATCTCTGGACCCGTCTCTTCAGGCATCGGGATGTACGCATTCTCCTGCTAGGTAGGTTTTTCTTCGAGTGATTCCTGGAAGTTGTATGATTGCCCTTGCACTATGCAGCAGAGTCGGTGCACATATGTGCTTACTGCACTCAAGATCGTTGTGCTTGTATGTTTCTCTTTTACAGGCGTATTTGAGACAGAACTTTTGGGCGTTCAACGGTTGAAGCTGTTCAATGGCAGTAATTGATACCGCGCGATATCAGCTGTTGACAGTGAAATTGACATTGTATGTCTGGGGCGAGCGAGGGGGTCTGGGGCGAGCGAGCGGTCGGGCTGACACCGTCTGTGGGGGTGGCCGGGAGGGTCGTCGTGTTGTTGGTTTCACGGGTGAGGTTGGAATATCAGGACGATTTTCACAACTTCATTTTCAGATTATGTCCGGAACTAAAGACGTATATAGATCTATGGTGGAACTATGCTGATATTGTCATCATTATTGTGAAATCAATCATCGTTAACTACTTAGTCACCGTTATCATCGTCATCATCATCATCATCATCATCGTCATCATCATCATCGTCATCAGCATCATCGTCATCAGCATCATCGTCATCAGCATCATGGATCTCATAATTTGGAATAATTGTAAACTAAATATTATAATGATGAAGTGAATGAAAGTAATAAAAAGGACCTATTTTATATAAAAAAACACACCATACTTTACATATATCTTTTGTGTAGATGAATCGGTTTAAAGCTTTAACAATAATAGTATGAATCTCAATTTCTTTAAAATTTAATTGACAAAATAACACAATTTTCAACAAACATGAATGTATATGTATAAGACAATATGACCATTTTCAGAAAAAATAAAAATAATTAATATAATATTGTATATAATGAGACAAAAGCATTAGAATTTAGAAAATATCACAGAAATAAGAAAACAAATACTGTACCGTATTCGATGTAATAAGCGCCCCGCTCTAATAATCACCCACAGCGATATTTGCTAATATATTGGCTAGTGAACAAACCCAATTAGCACCCCTTCCGATTGATCAATGTACACAAGACTTATTTATTCACATATAAAACGCACTTGTAATAAATTCGGGAAAAATATATCTGTCGTATATAAACATTTCAGGCTGTCAGCATAAATCACGAAATTTATCTTTTAACTCTGTTTTTGTCACCAAAATAATATTCTAATAAGAGCCCCCTATTTCTAATTTTGAGAGCGCCCTGGGCGCTTATTACATCGAATACGGTATATATATTTCAGAAAATATAACTTCTTCTTATTTGATGTCTTTACAGTAAATGAACAAGTTGTTATCCATTAATTGTGTCTATTTTGTCATCCGCCAACTTCTAAGTAATGCCTATCAAACAATACTAATTCGATGATTAATTCTCTTTCAATAACATAGATTTCCTTCATGCTGTACGTCCAAATGAATCATGTAATTGACATGACATCCAGAGTACAGATGTACTTCAGCAGTTCAAACCCCAGCATGCAACTTAGCAGCCTGTCCAGGTTCATTTCACCTTAACCTGAAATCAACATGCTTCACTCTCACCAGGAACAGAGAGGCAGAGGGCTTCCTGCATTTAACATGTTGATAATGTAAACATGCCCACAGCCACCAAGCCAGCCACCTAACTCAGGCATAGAGTAGACTTGCACAAGTCTCTAAGGCAATAATTGTTAGATTAAATAATAATTACTAGATTATGAAAATAATAAGAACAAGTTGTTCCTATAAGAGACTGGAGTCCTTAGACTTGCACAAGTCTCTAAGACAATAATTATTAGTTTAAATAATAATTTCTAGATTATGTAAATGATAAGAACAAGTTGTCCCTAAAGAGACTGGCATCTTTAGACTTGCACAAGTCTCAAAGGCAATAATTATTAGTTTAAATCATAATTTCTAGATTCTGTATATAATAAGAACAAGTTGTCCCTAAGAGACTGGAGTCCTTACCGTCCACTTACCTAGACTTGCCTATTAGGAGGATAGGATTACTACACATCCATGGACTTTTCTTTCAGTACAGCCTTGGAGTAAGGCTAGGCATAGAGGTGTAGACTGTGGGGTAATGGATGTTTACAGATGCCCAGGGTGGTGATGGTCATTAAGTGGTCACTGATCTTGTCTAGGGTACTGAATGGACATTGATAGGGTCTGGTTGGCGGTAAATGGCTACTCGGATCTGGGAAATGGAAGACTGGTCTTGTAGGGCAATTGCTAAATGGTCTTTGATTTGTTGTAATGGTTTTAGCCATTCCTGTATTTTCTTCTTGAGAGAGGATGCAGGGGTAGGAAATGTGGGATGCTGTCTGGAGGGGAGGATTTCCTTCTCAGTTTTGACATGTGTTTATTTTCATTTATGAGTATTTTTTCTGATGGGATTTGGAGTGGTTTTCGAAGTGATACAAGACTTCTCATTTTCAGTACCTTGTGTTTTATAAAGAACTGCTGTTATGCTGTTATGGTATGAGCTATACAAAATGTGTAAATTATTCCTATTTTGTATCAAATTTATGTATTAGTTAGAAATATGATATTTCTTCCTTATTTTAAATAACATTTTGATAAACATGATAAATTTCAATTTATTGCAACACACAGAAATGTTAACATAACTCCCAGAAAACACTTCTAAATGACATATTTACAATCTTGGAAACACATTTTGAACATAGAACAAACAGGGAAGAAATTGAAAGTGATTTATTTATTTGAGCAATATTTCATCAAGTGAAGTTCAACATCACCCAACAAGTCACTGCAGCCTGTTTCAGAAGGAGGCACTTCCTAAACAACATCGTTTTTTATTTATTTGTTTTAGACTAAAACAAGATCATATCAACAGCGAAGGCGTCACAAGAAAACCTATCTTCTATCTCCCTCAGCAGGCTCAACATCACATTTATTTATATATTTTGAAAAACAGATTGTATCATGCAGGGAAAAGTCACAACAAGAAAACCTCCACACACAATCTGAAATTAATTACCATGTGATTGACGAGCAGGACGAGTAGAGAGTTAACGAAAAGCCTCGCGGTACATACGCTACTAGTAGTCTACCTACAGGAATGTAGTATCTTGTTTGATGTTCTTGTTCCCTGCTTGAAGCAGAAAGGGGAACATGACTGATGTTCCTGTGAAGATCTGGGGTAGAATAGGCCTTCAGCAACCCATGCTTGTCTCCCCGTGAAGATCCGGGGTAGAATAGGCCTTCAGCAACCAATGCTTGCCGTAAAAAGCGACTATGCTTGTAAGAGGCGACTAATGGGATCAGGTGGTCAGTCTCGTTGACTTGGTCGCTGCATGTCATCGTATCCCAATTACGTGGATCGATGCTCATGATATCAGTCACTGGATTGTCTCGTCCAGATTCGATCATTTGAAGACCGCCGTCATGTAGCTGAAATATTTCTGAGTGCGGCGTTAAACAACAAATTAACAAACAAACAATCAAACAAACATGACTGATGATGAGTTCGTGTATGTGGGGGATGACGTAGTGGTGTGACTGTTTCGGAGGTAGTTCCGTGTGTCGGATTGTACATCATCTTGTTCGTCACAGAAGATGAAGCAAGGAGCAGAGATACATTTATCATCCAAAACTGGCTCCCACAGGAGATATCGCTTGATGAGATCAAGCGATATCTACATTTGCTGCAATGATATCAAATGACATCACTAATGGCTCTGCTACTGAAGCTGTTAGAAGTTCTTTTTACACTGAAGACACTGCTTATTACTGTCTACAAACTGAAAAAGTTGGAAGAATGATGTTGGATAATAAATAAAATCTCACCTGAAGAGTTTTTCCACTTTTATCAACTCGTGTTGATATATTTGATATCAAAAGATACTCGGGTGAGATTCTCCATGTCTGATGTTCCATATGTTGGGTAGGTTTGGAAGTAACGGTTAATGTCCCAGCCTTACATCATCACTGTGATATTTTATTTCTATTTTACCAACTTGTTTTGTTGGTCTTTCTGTCTTCATTTGTATTTTTACTGTATCTGTTTCTTATTCACTATAGTCTTTTTTTTCTTTTTGAGGGGGCGAGGTGGGGTGGGGTGAGGTGGGGTTGGTTGGGGTGAGGTGGGCTTGGGCTGGGTGGGGTTGGGTGAGTCATGGTGGGGTTGGTTGGGGTGAGGTGGGCTTGGGCTGGGTTGGGTTGGGTGAGTCAAGGTGGGGTGAGGTGAGGTGGGGTGGGTTTGTAGGAGAAAGTGGCACCAATTTCATGACCCTGATATTAAAACTCTTATATTAAAGTGTAAACAAACGGAGACTATTCAATTCCTACCGCCCAAAGCCTTCAGGAGAACTAACAACACAGTCTATAAGGCCGCTTTTCTCTGACCATCAATTTGTCTGTCTCTCTCTGACAGGTTGTTTTATGCCAATTTTTGTCTTTTTCTTAGTCTTTCTCTGTTTAAGGCATATAAAAGTTCTTTCGAAAATGGTTGAATTTTATGTGTCTTTTATACTTTGATTACCCAGCCACAAACCTGAATTCACAACTGTCAAAGTGTGACCTGTCGGTTACATCAAAAAAGGCAACTTCAGAATGTTTTGGTTTGTTTGTTTGTTGTGAACAATATTCCAGCTATATTACAGCAGTCAGTGAATAATTGAGTCTGGACCAGACAATCTAGTGATTGACATCATGAGCATCAACCTTCCCAGTTGGGATACGATACATGCATCAACCAAGCGAGTGACTACAGAATGGAAATTTATTCTTAAAAGGCAAAACAAAAACAAAATATAATATGCAACACCTAAAAATAATTAACATTGGGCCGACTTTCAGTGCACATGGTAATGAGAAAAAGGGAATTATATTTATGTGGCCTTTCAGCGGCCTCCCTGCCACGTCCATTGTCTTCACAAGTGAATATACTGTCTGGGCTTTTCTCAGTCTAAATACATTTATAGTTTGTGAAGTTTTTCTTGCCTCTAAAATATAGTATTTCTGTCACATTAATCATGTTAATGGCAAGTTTCACAAAGA